AAAAAAAAGGACATCAAAGTCTGTTACTAAGATAAACCAAACTGATATGAATCTTAATTTATGCTATTACTGAGAACACACACAGAGATATAGAGAACATAGGAAAATGTATCATCTTAAGATGCCCATAGTTAATTAGCATTAAAATAGCAATGAGCACATTTAAGCCAGGTTTTGCCATCCTAATGCAATAATCAATAACTCCCTGGAGTAAGGATTTATGACAGACAAGAGACAGAAGTAAAATTATCTTGAACATCTTGTGTAGAAAGCAAATAAATGCACAAAGACTAATGTATCATGTACAAGGAAGAAAGAGTTTTTCTTGAAGGTATTTACATTAACCACTGTTGGAAATTTTAGAATAACAATAGTAATGATATGTAGTGCAAGTATGTCTTTATAGAAATATGTTACCTTTAAATTCAATAGGGATGTTACAATTTGAAAATCACTTTGAAATGATAATTTATTCCAGAAAGGTCATGAATAGTTGCCCCAAATACTGAGTGAAAAGTTCAAGGGGGGAGGGGGAAACTATTCAAAATGTGCCAGTGTCATCCATTCTTAATTCCTAGGGGGAAAAATAATTTTTATAGTAATTATTGCAGCATTGCTATATGTAGAAAGGCATGTATGATGTATTTCCTGAAACAGAGAAGGATAAAACCTCACCCTATAGAAAAGTCTTGCAAAAAATGGTTAGCCTGAGTTAACCATAAGTAAACAATCGGATATGTCCAAAACGCTGGCTTCTCTACAAAATCACTGGAGTAAGAAGAGTTCTAAAATGTTCAGTGTTAAATAGGAAAAAAAAACAAAAAACAGGCGTAAAATAAATGTTTAAGTTTAAAACAGAATGTAGCCCCAGTGCAAAACAGAGGTGGCGACTTCTCAAAATATTAAAGAAAGATCTCATAATCCAACAATTTTACTAGTATGTATCTACCAGAATACAACTCATGAAAAGGGAACTTTTTTGACTCCTATGTTTACTGCAGCACCTTTTACTCCCTCTGTCACATATTAGTCATTAATCACTTTTGGAACAGTGGACACTCATATTGTTAGTAGGCGATCCAACAAGACAACTTTGTAAAATAGTGTGTCACTCTGTAGTAAGTAAAAGACATACTTACCCTCTACCAAACAACCCCACATCTTGGTGTCTGTCTCAGAAAACCTTGCCATGTGTATCAGAAGACATTAGTGGCCTGTTCATTGGCATTTTTTCTAAGGGCAAAAATTGGTAAGAAATTCAAATAGCAAAACAAAAACAGATAAATCAAGCCATATCTGTGCAATGACATATGACAATGAAATTAAGCTATGGCTATGAGCATCACACAGATTAATCTCAGAAATGTATTATTGACTGAAAATAATATATCTTCAGTAACAAGCAGGGGTGAACAGTATATCTAACACAGAGTATTTCCTGAAAATAAAGTTTATTCTGAAATGTTCTGTTTTAAACTAGCCAAATTGTACAGCTGTTGACCATTTAGATGAGAATAATCAAAGTGCTCTATTATGCCAGGTGCCATAGGTTGCTTTGACATCTTATGTCAAAATGATACACAGACAAACAATCCTAACCTACAGGAGTTTTCTGATGGCTCTTCTACAGAGTAGAATAAGGGTACTACTGTATCTAACATTTAAATGAATGTGTATGCATTGTGAAAATTGAAAACAAAAAATTGGATGTTAGCTGCGAATTACAGAATTAAAAGTGACAAAGGCAGTTAGTGCTTTTGTGTTCACCACAGAGATTCTTCTGTTGAAATAAAAAGAAAGTCATTATTTTCTATTTCTTTGCAGAGTAAAAGTGAGCAAATTACTGTGCGGCATCTGACATCAGGGAACTGGGAAGTGATAAAGATCTTGGCATATGATGAAACTACTCAGAAAATGTGAGTGGTTTTGATTCTGTAAACTGGCTGGAACTTCATGTTGTCAGGTGAAATCTTTTCTGGCAGAATTCTGTTTACTTACGATGGTCCTAATCAAAACAGCATGACCATCTAAAGAACAATCTTTTCTTTTAAAATTTTCCGTTTATTTCACTGAAGTGTTACCTATGCAGAAACACATACACAGTCTCATGCAAGTGCATGTACACACACACACAGTCAAAGATGTCATGGTAAAGTGTGATGATATAAGAAAATAAATTATTTCCCTAATTAAAATCCTATGGTTGAATAATCGAACAACATTCACCTGTTCTTTGACAGCATGAAAGTAAAACTCCAGCTTGGCAAAAATCTGTTTGATGTTTGTGTTGTTTTCTTTCCTGGGCAGTTACTTTCTGAGCACTGAGTCTTCTCCCAGAGGGAGGCAACTCTACAGGTAAGTTATGTACAGGATGATTCTACACCGGTTGATTTGTCTGTGGTCATCTACACAGTATAATGAAGGATGGCATGGAAAAATCTGGTTTCACTCACAACATAGTTTAGGAGAATGTCAACTGAGTATATGACAAGGATCAACAGTAGATGACAAGACCTCACCTACCCTCTTGATCCAGTCCCTTAGCTGTAGAACTAGACAGTGTAATGACAATCTTTCCAATCCTTCCTTTTGTTTTATTCCTCATCTGTTTTTGCAGTCTCAGTTTTTTTTATTTTTTTATTTTTTTTTAATGCTTGCTTCTCCCTGCTGCCCACCTCACAGGCAATTACATATTATCCCCAGTGACCTTTCTTCCTCCAAACCTCATTTTGAATTTTCAATGCATTCATGTTTTACACACATCATTTATTCTTAAAGAGAACAAAGGTGTTGTAAACAGTCATGTGGATGAAGGGAAAGTTTCTCTTCTTCACCATTAGTTTGCATAATCCGTTAAGATCATAATTTAAACTAGGAATGCCTGTTGTTTACTAAAATAAAGGAATGGATGGGGACTATTTTCATCTGCCTGATTTTCCCAGATGCAAAGTTATATTCATGGGAACCCATGAAAAGGGCTTAAGGTCACACCAATTTAGTATTAAAATGTCTCTTCACTCAGAAAGCTTTCACCAGAAACTCCCAAGAATGGCTTTTATTTTTGCCTGGCCAGCAACTTATTAATTCCAGACTTTATATATACCTTCTAATTTCCATTTCACAGATCCATTTTTAAAGTGTCAAAACTGCCATGGCATATTCTCAGTGGAAATTCATCATGTTTGAAGAAGTGTCACCACTGATTCTTACCAAGTATCGTAGATTTTCCTTTGAGAGTAAAAATGCATGTTCAAAGTATCCTACCTCTCTTTAATCCACTCAGATACTTTTATTTATGCATAAATCACTTTCTTGTGAAGCAAGCCTCTCTTTATTATCACCTTTCCCAATATATCATTTTATTATACTTTGCTGTTTCTTTTTCCAGGAAAAATCCTTGTCCTCAATTTTAATGAATACCAAAAGAAAAACAGCTCTTTATATAAGAGACAGATTCAAAATTTAATTTGGAAGTCTTAATCAATACACTAATCACTTTTTTCTGTTTGATAAACTGCAATTTATCTTGCTTGAAAAAAGTACTACCATTGATATTTTCAGTTACTAACAGTATTTTCAAGATGTGGAAGTACTTGATCAATGTTTTATTTCTCTCACTTTATAAAAGTCTTTAAGAAAAATGACAATATCAGAAGATTAGACTTGTTCAGGTTCAGCCTGTAGAATTGCTTCAATCTCTGTTCCCTTATCAGCCTAAAATGTGACTTGAGTCACAATGACTTCTTAGATTTGTATGCTTCTCTTATGTCTCTAGTGATGGAGGCAGAACAGTCAATATATCTATCACCTGTACTAGTGTAGCAGGCTGTGTTATAAAGAAGATGTAGTACCAATAAATTTCCCCTTAAATAGCTCATCAAATGCCAATTGGATTGACTGTAAGATAATGTTAGTATTTAGCCCAGAAAATTCAATCAATATCTCATTCAGACCATAAAAATAATCATTGGTTGACTTAATGTCTGGGATTAGAAGATCCTGCAAAATGTGAGCTGGTACATATTCAGTGTTACAATTTCATCTATAAAATTTGAAATTATTTATTTCAGCAATGTCATTTCTGAATAATAAAAATATGCCAAGTTATATCTCTTGAGAATTTGTATATGAATAGTTTTATTAAAAAATGCAGAGAGAAAAAAATTTGAAATTCTAGTTAGATCATTAAATAACCCTATGTAATTGGTATTCAGTGTCTGTGATAATAGTTGCACATTGGGAATATAGTTAATGATATCAAACTATAGACTTAAGAATGGTTATAACAGCAAATGTTGTAATATGCCTGTGTATATAAAATATATATAACAAACATAATATATATATACATATATATATGTACAGAAAAGTATGATATATTCATGATATATACATATATAAATATACACAGTGACTAATGTTTTATATTTGTATGTATTTTTAAAAAGAAAAAAAAAGATGGACTTATATGATACCATATGGTAAAACTAATATTTTCAAGTGCCTAGTGTATATTAATTATCTTGCCTAGTAAAGAAATATTTGGGGTTATAATCAGCCCTAAATGTTACAAATGTGTCGTGACGTTGGTAACTATACTTTTATCCCAGATTGCTGCTAGTGATTCTGATGCCTGATTCAGTCCCCCCTCTTTCCCATCCCCATGCCTGCAGTATATTATACATAAAAAACAGCCTAACTATGATGTGTTAATAAATGTACAGCTCAGATCATGTTTAACTCCAAAGAGAAATTAGAATATTTTCCTAACTAAGTTTTTCTTTAATATATCAACAATGTTTTCATTTATCAGTTTGCATAATCTAAAATTCTTCTTTATTTATAAGATAAATTTTTCTATACATGACATTTGAGTAAATATCTTATCCCTATTGCCTTAAGCATCATTGTTTGTAAAATAAAGAGATGATTGCTCCTTTCTTTATCTACCTCCATAATATTTCAATGTATAATTACTAACATTATACAATTATCATGTAAGAATAACTTCATATCAAAATATCCAGCGCATATATTTAGTGGGGAAAATTGTGGTAACAAATTCTAATGTTTAAAATCTTGAAATCAGAAAATTGTGATCTTCATTTTTTTTGTGACTTATGAAAATACTCATTTTTTTCACCTAATATGTCTTGATGGTAATTATACACTAGTATCTGTGTGTATTCCTTCTAAAACTTAAAAAAAATCTGTAAATATAATGAAATAAGAATAAGTTATATTGAGCCCCATAGTATCTTTATAAATGACAAATACATGTTTATTACATTTATATGATATATGCAAATGTACATAAATTAAATTTCATTTACTACAGAAAAGAAAATTTATGTTTCAAAATTAGGAATAGAAATTAGTAATATTTGTTTGCTAATTCATAATTTACTAGGAACCTCAATGTAAGTAGTTCTGTATACTTGAAATACCACACATTCCAGTATCTAGAATGGTAGCATTTCTAACATTATTTCTTTTCTTCAGTGTTTCTACCGAAGGATTATTGAATCGTCAATGCATTTCTTGTAATTTTATGAAAGAACAATGTACTTATTTTGGTGCCAGTTTTAGTCCCATGAACCAACATTTCTTACTATTTTGTGAAGGTAAGATAATATTAAAGTAAATAATATAATTATATTAATTGATTTCTGATAAGATTGATTTTATTTGAGCACTTTCATTATTAATTATTATTCTGGCTATATTACTTGATATTCATAATCAATGGTTTTGTTAAAAGTCATAACTTATAAATATACAGAGATGTAAATTTTATTTGTATACTTCATTTATAGAATTTGGGAGTTAAGTCAAGATGTATACATGATCAATAAGTACAGTTTGATCATGTACCTTTCAAAAAAAGTAAATATACATATTTATACCAAAAAAGTAATACTATAATAATAAACTAATCTAGCTAGTATTTTTTAAGTAGCATTTTTATTGACATAATGCCTTAATTGCTAAGAGACTTAGGATATACAGAAATTTAATTTCCTGGTTCTAGCCCCATATTAATATTGAGAAATATATTCAGTCCAATTACTTCATCTATCTGGTAACAGTATACTATAGCCTTATTAGCTGTATGGTACCTCTAGATTATATTGATAAGAATATTCTCCCCTTTAATAGTATAACATATTTCCCAGAGATAAATTGAGATTTATGTGCCTTTTAAAATGTGAATTAACTACTACTATTTCAAGTGGTATCTTAAGTTTTCCTATTTTAAGACAACATAGAATTGGTCAAACCTTGTTCTTTTATTTTTTCCACTGATAGTGAAATGAGGTAATAAAAAAAGAGACATACATTGTTGATGACACCAAAGAATACCCCTTAGACATAAGCATTTCTTAGAGATGTAAGTTTCAAGGTAACATATTATTGTTGCATCTGAACTGACCAATTAATTTGAAATAATTGGAGGTCTTAGTTGATAGATATTTTAAATAAATATGTAAGTAGCCCAATTTTTATTTTATTAATGAAATATTTCTAATATACTTGCTTTTTTTTTTTTCTTGATTGAGTAGTAAATAGAATTTGCTGTGAGATAAGTAAATAAAATGTCACAGGGCCATGTGAATCTGCACATAAGTGAATATTCCTTAAATAACTATTGATCAAGATATCTGAGATTTAGATAAAGCCATAGAAGTATAGAAATATCAGGGAATTTGGAAACATGGGACTACTAACAATAAACTCTTCAAATAGTGTCTTTATGTGCTTTTACTTTATAAATAAAATATTCATAGAAAGGAAAGAAACTTAGTTATTTATCTAGTTTCTATTTCATTATATTTTAAATGTGAAATAGTGCCATTTTGAAAAAGGAGCTCTGTCCTATAGACTTTTAAGTAGTTATTACTTAAATTTAAATATCTTTAATGTATATGTGTGTGTTGTGTACACACATATAAACACACACACACACACACATGTATTTTGTTTTTAATACAGGTCCAGGGGTCCCAGTGGTCAGTCTGCATAGCACAGACAATCCAACAAGTGAGTACATGAGCAGGACAATGCAGATTTGTTATGGTTGGTATTGACCTTAGGCATTATTATATTATGCATTGAATATCATATTCTATAGACTCCTCAAGTTTTCTTAGTACAAGGCAAGCTGAGTAGGCACCATCAACTTGACCTTGTTTACATAGGATGTGGTTTGAATTAGGTTACAGCCTGAATTGTGTCTTTTCCACCGAATTGGATATCTTCTATATCTAAACTAAGTGAGGAATAATTGATAAGGCTGTTAGATACACTTCAAAATACTGATTCCTTAGTGTTCTGGTCTTTCCCAAGGTCACATTTAGGTCATTTATCTGAAATATCATATTTTGTGAAATTGGCAAAATTACAAAAAGATACTATTTTGCAATTTGCTGTCTTTTTTTTCTTTCTTCAGATAATCCAAGTCTAGTTTTAATATGTAATTATTATATATATATTTATTCAATTGTACATAATTTAGTGAGTGAACTTTTAGTTTATCAATATTTCATATACTGTATGTATTCAGTATATTGATATTTTATTTTATCAATATAACAAAGGTTGGGGATACTTTGGTAGTAAGATATGATCAGTCAGTTTAAGAATGTATGGTGTGATATGTAGGTAAATGCATGTTTCAACTATATTTAAAAATGAGTAGCCAGATTATTTCCTATGTTCTGTTTCTTTCCTTCTATCATTTTCCCTTCTTTATTTTATTTTTCATTAAAATATATTTGATCAGTAATCTCCTGCTTTCATGTTTTAATGTTGGTTACTATTATCTAGTAATGGAATTTGTATTTATTAACTATTTAATCTCCAGAAAACCCATTGAAATAATTGATTTTATTATCTATGCTTACAGACAAGGAAACTGAGTCATGGAGAGGGTAAATATGTAACTCTGTCTAAAAATGTAGCAGTAGGTGGCAAAACCAAAAGTTAAATGAGACAGTCAGATTCCCTAATCTATTACATTTTATCTCGTTAATATTAATAATAATAGAGACTACAATAGTAATAAAGACCATGTAATTAATACAATAGAAAAAAGGTTGAATTTTATAGACATAGAAACTATTATATAAAATGTACCCATCACATACTTCTGTGGGATATGAGACATGTTAATTAATATAGTATAGAATAAGTGCCTTTTTAGATAAATAAGCAAATTTTATATGAGAGATTAAGATATTTCTTAGTATAGAATTATAATCAATATAAATTGCATGTTCTATCAAAATGATAATTGAGACTCTTAGTTTTATTTTAATTTTATTGTACTGTTACAAGGCAATGTTGTTTTCTAGTAATTTCCACCACAAAATATAAAATATTTTTGTCTAAGGATAATCCGATTTTTCACACTCATGAGTCACTTGTGATGGTCTCAGACACAAGAAACATAAAAATTTACATTCAATTGCTAGTAATTGTTTGTGCTAATCAATATTTGAATGTATCTTTGGTAAACTAATGAATCAATCATAAGTCATTTGGGGGCAACAAGAAGTAGATAGGACATGAAGAGAATAAACAAAAATATTTAATACAAATAGAAAACCTTTAAACCTAGTAGTTATCAGAGGAATGTAGGGTAAAATTCTGCCATGTAATTTTTCTTAACAAATTAATAACATCAAAAAGCTTACAATGCTAATGAAGATATTATGAGACTCTCATAATGTGCTGGTAGATAATATAAAATATAGCAAATCTTTTAGCAAAAATCGGGTTAACCATAAATCTTAAACATGTCATATCTATTTACCCCTTGTTTTTCTTTTAATGGTTTATACTGAGAAAGTAATTCTAAAGAGAGTAATTTACAACACTGTAATGATTAATAGTTAAAAATATAAATAGAGAAGGGAATTTGTAAATAAACTTTAATAGGACATTAGTCAATACCCTGAATATCTTCCATCTATATTTTAATATATTCCATTCAGTTTTACTCTTTCTTGGTTTCTGCCCCAAAAGTAATAAAAAGATGACATAGTCTGTTGCCTTTAAGATATCACTTGGATTCAGCTAAAGGCAGTATTGTAGGTTGCTGAATACAAGAGAGTGATTTGGGAGTAACTGTCCACACAGCCCTCACTTGTGAAGTTACCACATGGTATGGCTCTTGCTTGCATTCACACCTTCTCTATGGTGTCCTGAGACTGCTCCGTTCCAGTGCCCTGCAGACCTAATCTCTGTCATAGACCTAGTACTGAGCGACCTCAGTACTAGCCTGTAAGATTCCCCTATTCTTTGTCTATATCTCTGTATGTACTCCTTTATTATATTTCATCAAGTTTTAATAAAATAAGCCACCATTTTCCCACTCAAAAAATGATCAAAAAGAGTGATTACAATACTCAATTCTTCAACAATGCTTAAGCCCTATTTCTAAATAATTAAGGAATTCAACTCTCCATGCCATTTAAAACAAAACTGCTAAAAAATTCATATTAAAGTTCAAGAAGGAAATGTATGCAAGTGTTAAAATTCTTACATTTAGCCTGACAACCTTCCAAGGAGTTTTCTTTTTTCTTTTTTATTATTTTCATAATGTTCCATGATGAACATATATTACTTTTATAATAAAGTTGAAACCCTTCATTAAAATGTTCAGTGAATATTATTTTAAAAAATGTTCAGTGACTTGAGAATATGTATAAATAAGTAAAATTATACTTAGCTAATATTTCAAAAGCCCTTTGTCTCCTATTCTTATGATTAACTTTTTGTGTATGTGACTTTTCCACTTTTGTACTTTACTTTCTCGTAGTGTCTTTTTCTTTGTGTTTCCACTTTCCAGTGTCTTTTTTTTCTAATTCTTCTTATTTAACATGTATTTATTTATTTGTAGAAGAACTGTGGTGTAGGCCAGAGTTGTGAGTGGGAGAGAGGATTCACCAGAGATAGAATGGCAGATTTGTTGAAATAACTGCTGAGGGGAGCAGCCAGCCAGACTGGAGAGGTCTGCTGCACCATGTGGGTCACCTCCCTGTCTGGGGATCTAACTCAGGTCACAGAGGCCATAGTGCTGAGACTTAGCACTAGGTCACCTAGAAGGCCCCTCTAATTCTTCTTTCTACTTCACTTACAGTTTCTTCCTCTCATTTTATTTATCCTTTCTAATTTGCTGTTCTTATTTCTCTTGTCCTCAGTTCTCCTTAAAATAACATTTTAGCATTCCCTTTTCTCAGTTTTATCAAAAGCTGTGTATTAAATATTTTTCTAATTTATTGTGAAAAATCGCTGTCTGCCTCTAATATATTAAGAATTTTTCTATTGCTGCCCCTTTACTTACATACTTAGCTTGCATAATAAAATTAGGGTGTTTTTTTTCCTCAATAGTTTATGATAATAAAAAAATTGAAAAATTATTAATATTTCATATTCATGTGAGTGCCTCTAGGTGTATTGATCCATTCATTTAGTCTATTAATCCTTTAAACTAAATAAGCTATTTTTCATTTATAAAAATCTCTCATAACTTATATTTAAAGGTATAAAAATAGGGCCTCCCTAGTGGTGTAAAGGTAGGTCTCAGTATCGTCACCTTGACAAGCCTGAGTTCAATCCCTGGCCAAGGAGCAGCAGACCTCTCACCCTCTTTATTTCTGTTCTACACCCCAGTTCTTGTATGAATAAATAAATTAAAAAAATAAATCTTTATAAAAATAAAATAATTAAAATTATAAAAGTAATGTTATCACATATATTTTCTGTAAATAATTGCCCACTTATAGTTGGCAATATCAGTGATACTGACATCTTTTAAATACTTCAGAAACTACTTTTCTCCACAAGTGTATTTTTATAGCATTTCTTAGATTTTAGTGCTGAATCCTTGATGAAACTTATAGACTTATTCACATTTAAATTATATAATTGAATATTCAGAATAGTTTCTTGGAAAAATATATTATTATTTAAATAATCAAAAATGTTGTATTTTGGGAGTAGAAGAAATAAAGTCTTCTGTGGAATTAAAAAATAACAAATTTCCCTCACATATTAGAAAACACATTAATTTATAAAACAGGTAGTAATTTGAAACCACACACATAGAATTCAAAGTATAATTCAGGAAACAGGAAATTAAATGATTGTTGGAATATCCTAATCACTATAATAGAAATGTAGATACTTGAAAGAAAAAAAAATCAGTAGAACTTTCAGAAAGATATGATAATTCACAACATAAGACACAAAAACATTGATATTTTCTGACAAATTATTCAATGTTTCTGAAACAAAACAAGTTAAAGATGTTTAATGTACAGGACACACGGAAGCCAAAACATCAAGTTTGATTCATCCTGAGTTTGGATTTTACTGTAAATTACAAATTATAAACCATTCACAACTTAAAATATATTCTTATTCTTCCCATGGAATACCTTAAAGTAGACATGGCTTCTTGCCATGAAAAAGAGAAAAAAAGAAAAAGATTGGATAAAATAACAATTTTCAATCATGAGGTAATAGTTAGCTACATCTCTGATCCCAGAAAAAAAGTAAATAGATGAGATTAATGTTGTAATCACACAGTTTTCCTATTTGGAATAATTTCCTGAAAACTGGTACAATGAAAAACAATCCAACAAGAGTATAATGGTATCTCAGAACTATAGTGGAGACCTAAACTGCAGTTCAGAAAGACTGAAACTTTTCATATGCTGGCAGAGTAGAAAGTAAGTGAAGAGGATAGAGGTACATGAAGTTTATCTTGAGTCTGTTGCTGGGAATACCTGGCTAAGTATAAATAGAAAAATATAAAAGCAACTTTCAAAAATAAAGATACATTACATCCGCTCATTGCATACAGAGTAACAATGCATAGAATGGCTTCAGACTTAATATCAGTAAAAATCAAACATGACAGTAAAGTAAAATCTTAAATGGAAAATTTTAAAATCAAATTTACAATTTAAGAAATTAGATTAGAAAAAAAGAGCAAAAAGTACAGTAAGTTGAAGGGAGGATAAATAAAATAAAATGGAAATTAATTATATAAAAATAAACTAGCAGTGAAACTATATGAAACTAAAGATACTTTGAAAAGATCAATTATATAATGATGAAATTTTAGTCATAAGAGTGTATCACTGCCATTTTCATGAATGAAATAGATTGTCAATAGAGGTGATAGCAATGGGGTAATTAAAAGTAATTTGATACAGTAAATTTAACATCTTAATTCAGAGATAAAAGACATGGCATGCTAAACATTCAAACAAAAAGAAGACAATATATAAATATCCCCTTATTTACTAACAATTTTAATTCACAACATTCCTCCTATTTAGAGAAGTCCTGTTCCAATTAGTTCCACTCGTGCATCCTATGCAACATTTATTAGGTGTATACTAAGCTTGAAAATATAAGGTCAGTATTAATCATACTTACTTAGAACTTACAAAAATACTTCAACTACTTCTACTGACAAACATACTGTTGAGTGACAAGACTGGAGAAAAGTTAGAATGTCAGGTCTCACTGCAATTTTGTATCAGAGGATTTCCCTTATGAAAGGGAGCAAAAAATAGGAATACCAGTATAAAAGCTGTGTTTCTTTCTTGAAGTCATACTTGTAAATAAAACAAAGAACAAATCAACAATGAAGTTTACACACATCCACAAAACTATTAGACATGAGTGACTTTATCATGGTTAGAAGTAGAGTCAGTATGGGAAAAAACAACTATTTTATAAAGTACAGTATAATACAGAATTTAAAAGTAGTTATAAATCATGGTTAATATAACTCTGAAATCATAAAAGAGCCAAAAATAAATCTAATAAAAATTTGAAAGTTGCCTAAATATAAAAGCAAGCATTGCTTGGAGGAATTGAAGACTTTAATGGATACACCTACATACTATGTATTAAATAACTATTTTAGCATTTAAATTTCTTCAATAAATCTATAAATTTAATTTCAGTCAAATTTCTACTTAAATACCAATGTCCCTTCATGTTTTATCAATTGTTTCCTTTGTATTATTTTCTTTTGCCATTGTCTGTATTTTATGTTTTAAAATTCATTGATGTTTTCTTCTGAAGCATGTAGAATGCTCTGAATCCCATTTTTTATCTTAAATCTTGTTGTTTTCCTGGATCTTATTCTTCAGCTTTTATTTTTAGAGATTTAACCTGGGTCTCTTCAATTATCATATTTCTCTTTAATAGCCTCATTTTTGTTTTATTGTATATATGCAATATAGTTATAATATTTTTATTCATGTCATTGACTATTCATTATATCATCTGTGTCATTTTGGGCTATTTCTATTGATTAATTTCTCATCTTGGGTGACATTTTCCTCATCTCTTGCATGCCTGTTAATATTGTACTAAACTTCAGACACTGTGATTTTCATGTTATTGGGTGGTAGATAATTTTGTAGTCATGTTAATATTCTTTAGAAGGGTAGTTGCATGTGAGAATTGCATTTGACAATGTAAATGCTAATCCCAGGTCTAGGTGCAAGTGGAGAAAATCTCACTTGATGAAGGAAGCTCTGTTTGAAAATTGTTGTTACTAATTCAGGAGAATTAATTATTCCCAAGCACCAAATGGTAACAGATGTTGAATTATTTATTGTGTTTCACTGATTCTTGATCAATACTTAGAAGTTAATGATTTATATTCCCCTTTTTGATTTATAGAATATTTTGTATTGGAAAATAATTCTATGCGGAAGGAAGCTATTCTCAAGAAGAAGATATTAAAGTCAGAAATTAAAATGCTTCATATTGACGACTATGGTAAAGTTTTGTGCATGCTATCTTATTTGCGAACAACTTTCTCTGTTATCTGTAGTTTCACATGTAAATGACTCTCCATCTTTAATGTTTTGCTCTTTCTTTAAAAGAACTTCCTTTACAGTTGTCCTTTCCCAAAGATTTTACGGACCGAAACCAGTATGCTCTTCTGTTAATAATGTAAGTATTTTATTTGTTTTTGAAATAAAGGAATCTAAGGATTTTATAATTTTTCTTATGCCTCACATGACAGCAGAGTGATTAAAACACACATACACAGAAGTCCTATGTGTATAGTTAGCCAGGACATCTGTCAGTTGTGTGAGTTACTCAAGGACATTACCACTATTAATAAGGAAAAATATGTAAGCTTTTTGTGCTTCTTGCATCCCAAATAGAACTTGATGTTACCACTGGGAATAATGATACCAAGAGTATGGTGTGTGGATGTCTTCTTAGCAATTACTGAAGCCCTATTCACTCTCTCTCTCTCTCTCCTCCTCTCCCCCCCCCAAATTATATTGGTATATAATTCTCATTCTTGTGGATACCTTTGTTAAATGAAAATTATATTATATATTTATAATATATTTATAAAGGCATGAGCATATAAATAACATGGGATCAGTCCTTTAAACATTTTTTTAATTTTTTATTTGTTTACATCATTCTTCCTTTTGTGCATTTTTCATCTAATTTGTAATCTCCATGTGCCATCACCATAGTCCAGTGCATGCTTCCGCCCCAATTCTGATCCCACAACCTTTTCCACCCCCATAAAATATCTCTGGTTTATAGTTGTTCATTGTTTTCATTTTTACTGTATTATATTTCTCTCTCTCTCTCTCACTCACTCACTCACTCTCACTCCCCTCCCCCTTTCTCTCTCTTTCTCTCTTTCTCTCCCTCTCTTCCTGATCCCTTTCACTCCTGCTTTGAGTGAAAACATCCAGTATTTTTCTTTTTCTTCCTGGCTTATTTTACTAAGCGTGATTCCTACTGAGTAGCAACTCTCCAATTATCCCTCCCTCAGCACCTGGTATCCAACTTTCTACTCTGTTTCTGTAAACTTAAGTCATTTTAAATGACTCTTTTAAGTGGAATCATGAAGTTTGTGTCCCTCTGTGACTGGTTTATTTCACTTAGGGTAAAGTCCTTACCATATATCTGTGTTGTTGCAGGTAAGCCCTATGTCCACGTGTTATTAGTTATGTAAAACATTTATCAGTTATGTACAACATTGAGGAAACATCTCCATGACTGATACTATTGTTACTAGTTGTATCTCTCCTGTCCCTTTTCTTTCTTAGATTAATGGTCAACAGAAAGCAACTCCCATGTTTAGAAAACTGAATCTTAAGTTTTCTCAACACTGTACCTCACTTTCTGTTTCTCTCCAAAAATGGGCTGAGTCTTAGGGAAAGACACTCTACTTGGCATCCTTCCTTGAAGTATGATGCACATACCCAGATTGATATATGGACAAGTATACCCACTTGTGTAGCCACTGGCTCCAGAGAAGTAACACACTTTGGAGGGGGGGGAATACAAGAGTTACAGATTTTTCTGTTGAAAATTACAGATTTCCTCTGGTATAGCTTGTCCTGGCATCACATTTATGTTTTAGTCTGGGTGATTTTAAATTCAGTAAGAGTATAAGAACTAACACAAAGCTCATTTTTTCTTGTTCAAAAGGGCTAGCCAGGTCTTTGTAGTGGCTGGGTAGTAGAGTTTCAGTATTTTAACTTGAGTATTTAACTGGATTTACCTCTCAGCTCAAAGATGTTCCAATACATTGATCAATTTTTCTAAGTTTCGGTTTCCTTATAAATATATTGGAAATAAAAATATGGACAATTTATAAAAAACATTTACCATAGCAAATAGTAGTAAAAACTTAAACTTTGTGTTTAAAATTATAACCATCTTTATAGTTATTAGTAGTATTTTCATGTTTAAATTTACAATATAGCTATGTAATTTGGTGTCAGTTACTATTTAATAATCTTACATTACTAAAATGCAAAATAATGTAGTCGGATTCAGAATTTAGTTTTCCATGTCTTTAATTGATAAAAAGAGTGAAAATAGCTATTAATTTATCATTTGCTTTCTGTGTGTTGAATACTAAATATCAATTTATTTTATCCAAGCTGTCTTTTTCTTAGAGGCAAATTTTCAGAAGTTTTACACTCTGATTTACAAAACCAAACTGAGAAATTTTCTTTTTGGATTTTATATTTATTATTTTTTAATCGGCATGATCATCCCTAAAATATTTATGATTGGAAAACTTTATGGTACAGAATGTCCTAAGTACATTTTTTAAGTGTTTTCTTGGAATGCTTATCATTTAAAGGTATAGTATTCTTTTCAGTGACCAGCAGTCTCCCTTCTTTTGAAATATAATAGAAGAATGATAAACTTTTCTTTTCTTAAAACAAAAATTAGAGAGGAATCGTGAATAGACTGCAAATGCAGCTAAAAGATGATTTAATGATTTTAGTATCACTACTTCATTGCTGTTTTGTGCACTGTATCTACTGCCCAGCACACTGTGAGCTATTTCTTCACCTAGACAGATGGGTTTGTATCTAGGAAATTCCATGACTAAATGAGACTGGCTGCAGGAGATAACCTGAGTAGGTAGGAGGTAGATTACACTTGAAGAAAGTAGCTTCTGGCAATTTGGAATCCCCTTTCTGCTAAATCATCACTATGAAGCTTCAGAAGAATGTTCCTACTGCCACCAGACAACTTACCATGAAGCCCTCTGTAGTCATATTTTCTAAAAACCAAGCCTAATTTCAAAGAAAATGCACTTGAACTACTGGCAACAGAGTAGCTTACTATAGTGGTAAATCTAAGCAGCATTGCCACTACAAATGTATCTCAGTGACCTCAACCTGTAGTGGTCTCTATAAGGTCAAGACCTCCTTTTCCTTTCATACTCTTCCTATGTTCTTTCTAGATGCCTAAATGTTTAACTTCATAGGGAGTCTTTAATGATCTAATTACATTTATTGCAGCATTTGTTACCTTGAATTGTTCTTGTTTGTGTAATTCTTATTTTCTGTTTATGTAGAAGTAATTTAGTACAACACTCACTACATGTTGATTTTGTGTGCAAGAAGCTGTGCTAATGGTTGTGGTGTAGTAAAAAGTTTATAAGTATCTTAAAATATAGTGTTTTAGATTTGTGTAGTATAGTCAAATGCCTAGTAGACATATAGGAAAATTACTGACTAACCTGTAATCAATCCTCTTAGTGCTGCAGGATGAAGATTGATATTTATTGGTAGATGTTTATTTGATGTTTACTGATAGGTGTTTATATCATAAGTAAGTAAATACAAATATTTAGATCATGATAGGCAGCAATCCGTACAAATGTGCTATTGTAAAAGGTGAAGTTTGAATTTTTTGTTGTTAGTTGTCTCCATGAAAAGAAACAGTGTAGAGCTAGAGAGGTACATTCAATGCTAAGGAATTACCATCTCTTCCTACTTTGTGTTCTTTCATGTTCAGCTTATCAATGCCACACATGAGAAAGGTCTAACCTAGGAAATCACTGACTGTTCAATAAGTTGTATTAATTTCTGAAGTGTAACAAACTCTGCCATGCCTCCTTCAGCTTTGTTCTCTCTCCCTGAGTTTATCTTCCTTAAAATACTAATGAATTAATTGTGATCCATCAAGTCTTTTTTTTATTTTTATTTAATTAAATATATATATATATTTACATCATTTTTTACATCATTTTTCATTTTGTGCATATTTTTTCATCTCTGTTATAATCCCCATGGGCTTCCCACCACCAGTTCACCCATAGGCCATCACCACAGACTAGTGCACTCTTCCCACCCCAGTTCTGATCCCATTCCTCCCTTCCACTCCCATAAAGTGTCTCTAATTTATAATTGTTCATTGTTTTCATTTTTACTTTACTACCTTTGTTTGTCTCTTTTTTTCCTCCCCCAACCCCTTATACTCACTATGAGTGAAACCATGCAGTAAATTTCTTTTTCCTTCTTACTTATTTCACTAAGCATGATCCCTTCTAGCTCCATTCATGTTGCTGCAAAAGGCATGAGTTTATCTTTTTTGAATGCTGAGTAATATTTCATTGTGTATATGTACTACATCTTTTTAATCCACTCATTTTGGAGGGCCATTTGGGTTGATTCCATATCTTCCCTATTATAAATAGAGCAACAATAAACATGGGGGTGCAAGTGTCTTTTTGAATCAATGTGTTTGTGTCCTTTGGGTAGATACCTAAGAGTGGGATAATATGGAAGCTCTATTTTTAGCCTTTTGAGAAACCTCCAAATAACTTTCCATAGTGGTTGTATCAGCTTGCACTCTCCCCAGGAATGTCAGAAAGTTCCTTTTTCTCCACATCCTCCTCACCTTGCTAGTTGTTTTAAGATGTGTCATTCTCACTGGTGTGAGATGATAGCTCATTGTGGTTTTAATTTGCATTTCCTTTATTACAAGTGATGTTGAATATTTTTTCATATGCCTGCTCTTACCACCTGCATTTCTTCTTTGGAGAAGTGTCTTTGTAGTTCTTCTGCCCATTTTTTGATAGGGTCATTTACTTTATTTTTCTTGAGTTTAATCAGCCCTATATGTACCTTTGTGATCAGTCCTTTGTCATTAGTATTATGTGCAAATATTTTCTCTCAATTAGTGGGGTGTCTTTTTGTTTTGTGTAGTGTCTCTTTCTTGCTGTACAGAAGCTCTTTAACTTAATGTAATCCTAGCTATATATCCTTTTCTTCACTATCATTGCTTTGGGTGATGTATCTTTAAAGATATTATTGAGGTGTATGTCATGCAGAGTTTCACCTACCTTTTCTTCTAGATATTTAATTGTTTTGGGTCTAGTTCTTTAATCTATTTCAAGTTGGTTTTTGCACGTGGTCTGATATAGTAGTCTAGCTTTATTATTTTGCACATAGCAGTCCCATTTTCCCAGCACCATTTGCTAAACAAACTTTCTTTTTTCCATTGCATATTCTTTGCTCCTTTGTCAAAAAGTAGCTGCACATAAACCTGTGTGTTTATATTTGAATTTTCTATGCAAATTTATTGGCCTGTATGTCTGTTCATGTTCCAGTACCATGCAGTTTTGTTTATTATGGTTTTGTAGTATAGCTTGGAGTCTGATTGTG